GATTCTATGATTCTATGATTCTATGCTTTAATTCTTTCGTATAATAAGCTGTCCCTGGCTGTTTAACTCGGGCCTCACCAAAACAATATAACATTTGGGGAAGAAGATGCAGCCCAGTAATCCAAAACTAGAGGCCAAAATAGAAAAGATCTCCACAGCCACCATGTACTTTCCCTTGGTACTCAGGTAGGTAGGAACAAAGGACAGCCACACACTGCAAAAGACCAACATGCTGAAGGTGATGAACTTGGCTTCATTAAAACTGGTAACTTCCTAGCTAGGAAAGCCACAGTGAAACTGACCATGGCCAGCATTCCCATGAAGCCTAGGACACAGTAGAACATGGTGACTGATCCTTCGTTACATTGCAGTACAATTTCTTTAGTCACTGAGTGCTTGTCTAAGTCAGGGAGTGGGGGAGCAACTATCAGCCAGGCACTACACATCATCATTTGAATGAGGAAACTGAAAAGAACAATGGAGATGGCCAGATGTTTCCCCACCCATCTCCTCATTCTGGAGCCTGGCTTGGTAGCCATGAAAGCTAGAACCACGATAGTTGTTTTTGCTAAGATGCAAGACACTGCTACTGAGAAGATGACTCCAAAAGCAGTTTGTCGAAGGAGGCAGGTTATTTTTGTGGGCTGGCCAATGAATAGCAAAGGACAAAGAAAGGAGAGAATGAGGGCTATGAGGAGAACATAGGTGAGGGTCCGATTGTTGGCTTTGACTATGGGAGTGTCTTTGTGCTTGATGAAGATCCTAAGCACAAAACCTGTAATGAAAGTCAATAAAAGAGCAAAAGTGACCAAACTGATTCCCAGAGGTTCATCATAAGACAGGAAGCTAATATCTTTTGGAAGACATATATCCTGGCCAATGTTTGGGTACTGATCTTCCGGACATTGAAAACAGTCATCCATGTCTGAAAATAAAACAAAAACATGTTTACTGAAGACTTTTAGAGTCTAGTGGTGGTAAGGGGAAAGGCTTCTTTGTTTTATATCCTACTTTTTTACTCGACTCGTCAAAACAGTCAACAACATTTAGAAAACACAGCAGATCACAAAGCAAAACTACCAGCCCCTTGAAACAGCAGCAGGCATCAGATGTTTTTTTCTTCAGTTAGCCCTGTCTTTAGCCAACTGAACCAGGCCCTGATGTGGTCTTTGCTTGTCTCTTTTGCTCTGTTATTCCTTCACAAAAGGCAAGTATCTGTTGGCCCATGTAGACTAGTCCACATTTCCCCCTCACATCTCTCATTCAGTGTCATATTTGTGGAAATAATGCAGATAGCTGCACACTTCATAAACTACTTCAATATTTTGGTGGAATGCAATTAAATCTCAGCAGACTACCGACCCTCCAAGTGTATGTATTTTCCAGGGATTTCCCCACTTTACTGAAGCTGTATCAGTTTCTGATTTGATCTCTGAATGTCCCACTTTTCCTTAGGATGTCCCTAGTTTTCATAGGAAAAATGTTGGAGGGTATGGTGGGATGTCCCTTTTTACTTCAGAGTAATGTTGAAGGGTATGGAGTTTTCCGACACCCGAGCCTTCTGAAGGCAGCCCTAAATAGGGAAGATTTTTTTTAATGTCTAATATTTTATTATGTTTTATATATATTGGAAGCTGCACAGAGTGGCAACCGAGTCAGATGGATGGGGTATAAATAGTAAAGTTATTGTTATTACTATTATGGAATAGGACATCCCTATTTTGATTAGAGACTAAAATTGGTGGTTCTACCCTTTCTGAACTGCAGCTTATTTTAAGGGTGAATCTCTGTGCATGATGAAGGTGAATAGAGGAAAGTTTTTGACAAGAAAGTACTGGCTCATGGTTTAAGCAGACCAGTGTTTGGTAAGGCTTTAGCTGAGCTGAGAGCATATACAGATTAAAGAAAATACAAGACTCATTAGCAGCCCAGAGTGACCTTCTTGAATGTTTGTATACCCTAGGGAGGGTTAAAATCATGTTTGAAATAGGTAGCATACATACATCTCTATATAACATTTTTAAACTTTTCTTACCTTTCTGGTTAGAGATCTTCCTTCTGGACATGGAATGCAATCATAGCAACAAAATGGTTTCCCTTCCTTCTTGGTCCTACTATAACCTGAACCGCAATGATCATTACATATAGAAATGGGCGAGGTCTGTCCATAAATATTAGAATATAATGTTTTAGGTAATATCATGAACACTAGAGAGTATTGTGAATGCAGTGGAGTTTTAGAACCTCCACCATGACTCGAGTCCTTGGCTCACATTATGGTATGGTTTATTTATAAAACACTTTTTAGATCAAAGGCCACCAAACCAGTGAGCAACATAAATACAGCCATATATATGTCATTAAATCAAATAATAAATAGTCATTAAAATATATAACACATTTTAAAACAAACCAAAGGAATGTACATCAAACAAAAGTGGTGGTATTAATTGTCATCAATTGCATCTTCACCAATCAATAGTAACTATAAAATGAGGATGTTTGACATGCCCCTGTGGGGAAGAGGACATATTTTGGGAGCTGTCACAGAGAGCATCAATTCCCAGAATGCCATCCCCCAGGTTTCTTAGGGTGGCAGAAGTACTAAGAGGGACCTTTTGCTTATCTTTATACTCAAAAGAGTACTTATGGAAAGAGACAGGCCTTCAGATATGTAGGGCCTCAATAACCTCATAAATAAATACATTTTTATTTATTTATTAGATTATTGAGGCCCGGCATAAATTATTTCTTTATTGATAAATTTATTTACAACCTTTCAGTAAAAGGTCAAAAAATGGTTAACAACACAAAACAGCAACTGCGCAACACAAACACTTAAAATAATTATTTTAATCAAATTGTTTTGTTGTGTGGTGTTCTATGATGGGCGTAAAGCCGAATAAACATTTTGATTGATTGATTGATTGGCAGAAGCTGGGACAGAACAACAGGAGCTCACCCCGTTGCACAGATTTGAACCGCTGACCTTTTGATTTGCACACCCAAGAGGCTCATTGGTTTAGACCACAGCGCCACCCACTTCAATCAGCTGGCAATTGTGTTCAATGTGGAGAGATGTTGGTACTTACCTATCCTGCCATCACATGCTTAATGAATGAAAAGGGGTTTTAGCAAAAAAAAAAAAAAATACAGTGAAGGATATTAATATTCTCCCTAATATTAATCAGGAGTGTGTTCTAGAGTGTTGTTGCTACCACTCTGAATGAATGATTCCTTGTAAGTGGAGAAGGAAAATTAAGTGGCACATGAATGTTCAGATTGAACAAGTCTCACTATATTTACAGAATACTGAGAAACAACCATTTGAGTAACGATCTTCTTCCTGACCATTGGGCAGGTGATGGAACGAACCCTGAAAAGTGCAGAGAACCCACCTGATTAAATTGTTTGGGCCATACAATGGCATCCTCATGAATGGTGAACGATTTTTCCTGGGCACCCAGAGAGTCTACCTTCCCAGCTTTGACTCTAAGAAAGGACTGATTTGGAAACATGAGCCAGTTTATAATGTCAAAGTAAGCAATTAATTTGCCATTTTCGTCAAAGCGCACCTTTTCTCCTGCACTGTTGTTAAATGAAATACTTCTGAGAATGTGATGGAGCTAAATAATAAAAATAAGAAAGAATATATAAATGCTCTTATTATATTATCATACAACACAGTGAAAATACATCCAAGGCTCAGGATTATGATCCCATGAAATCTTTGTGCAAGCTAATGTTAGAAACAGCAAAAGGTCACTTAAAATCCCACACCATGGAATATTGGCCACATCTGCACCACTACTTTAACTTTCACTGTTTTGTGTTACACTAAAGAACTTTCCTCATTGTAGGCTTATCAAGAGAGGTTAAGATTTTTCCATAAAGAGACCTCTTCTATCTTTAAAAGACCACAGTCCCCATGGTTTAAGTCTGTGGTATGGATGTATCTATTGTGGAGTGAGGTATCGCGACTGCCAACGATATGGTTGGCAGGCCTGTTGCTGCTTCTGGTATTTTCAAAACTGCAAGGAAAGGGGCAGTGATACCCTCTTCTGCTTCTCCAGTAAGGCAGCTGGGGAAGGGCTTTGGCTCACTGGTGACTCATGCTTTAAATGCAGAAGGTTCCAGGTTCAATCCCTGGTATCTCCATCAAAAACTTGGGAGTTGCTGGCAGTGTAGACAATACTGATCTACATGGACCAGTGGTCTCCACTTGGTAGAAAGCAGCTTTCTATGCAATTGTAGACACTCTAAAGAAATATTTGATACCGTAGCCCCAACATAGTAAAAACATATTTCAAGCCCACTCTACACTTAGAAATCCTAGAGTGAAGTGCAATACATAATCAAACCTAAATGAAACATCAACGACAGAGGTCACATGGATCCAATATGTCAGGCATGTTCATCTCCACCAAAGAACAGATGAACTTAAATCTAACCAAAGTTTTAATCAAATAAATGATGCCACCATCTTCTCCCATCCTCCGCAATGAATGGTTGAATTACATACTGGACAAAATATCAGAGCAGCACAATGTTTTGGAACTCCCTCCACAAAAAAGATGCACAGCTGAACATGCTACCTTGATGGTGAAGGAATGGAAAGAAATTCTTTTACAAACTAAGAGGAGTTCTGTTAATCTCCGCTGCAGAGGCAAAATAAAAGGCTTGAAGTATGGTAAAGGTTTTGTATGAGATTAACTTTCTTGTTAATCCCATGGAAGGTTGAGAAAACTCACCCATCATTTTTTCACCAAAAGATACATAGGTATCTTCAGCTTTCATCTGATCAGGACATTACCTACCACAGTTGTTGATTTAGAAGTTCCCATCTTACTCCATCAGCCATTCCCCTGAGCTTGAATTGGGAGAAAACCATAGGCTAGATGTATTGTAAAGTTTTTCTCTGAGAATAATTTTCTTGTTAATCTCATGGAAGCTTGAAAAATGTTGCCCATTTCCCCCCACCAAAATATATGGAGGCATCTTCAGGACATTACCTGGCACGGTTGTGAATTTGGAAGCTCCCATCTTACTCCCTCTGCCATTCCCCTGAGCTTGAATTGGGATGAATGCATGGTGTGCAAAGCATGTGCCACCGCATAGACTGCATTGTAAATGGTGTAGCTGTGGGCAGTCATTTTCATTTCAAAAACAGACATGGGAAGTGCCTCCATCTTCTCCTCCCCAGTGCAGATTTGCCCACCTATATTATCTGCCACTGAACTGGGGAATGAACAGTTAAATGACTCTTCCCAGAAGTCCTTGATAAAGCCATCTTCTTTTTCTGTGGTTGGGTTTTTGGTCTGAAGGAACTTCTGGAAAGCTAAGAGATTCACTGAGTGAATTGCAAGAGAAAGAGAACCATGAAGGAAACTTATGTCCCAATTTCTTTGAAATGGAAATGATGTGATATCCATCTGGGCTGTCATGAACCAGACTTTGCCCTTGGTCCTCATTGGTATATGCTCAAATTTTACAACTTGGGGCACCATTTTCAATGCCATCATGGTCTGAATTTCTCCATGTACAACCACAACATTCGCAGTGCTTCCCATAATAACACTGACACTGTGAAAGCCCTCCCCCACCATGTCAGTGATACCACTGGATGTTGTTTGTTTGGGGAATTTTTCTATGAAGTCAAAGCAGATGCCACTCTGGGAAAACATTGGGAGTACATTCTCTATAAACCCTTCTGTATTTTCCCCATCTTGAGAAACCACTCCAATCCATGTCCACTGGAAATGCAGCAGTATCTTGATCATTCCTCTATATTGATGGTCTCCATTTGGAAACATCTGGTGGAAGAAAACTCCTTGAGATTGTTTATTCATGACTGGGGAAGAACCATATATAAGCTAAGGATTTAAAAAAAGAAGTTAGGGGGGAAAGTGATTTTCAATTTTAAAAAGTTGCTTTTGTGTATTTGCGTTGTGTGTGTGAATTTTTAGTGAGAGGCTTGCCATATTGTGGTGATTATATTCAAACATCATTGGAAACCCAATCCATCCTTCAATGTTTATATAAGGGGGATTAATGTGAATGAGAGCCAATTGCTTCTATCAGTGGGAGGCAATGCCACACAAAGGTATGTATGACCCACTACTATGAGACTGCAGAGAGCAGCTCATTTTACATTTTGTGTTCAAACAACAGATTTTATCTTGAAGCTGCTCACAATAGTGACAGCATTATTATGATAATTTTTTAAAAAAATATTACAATCAGTATAACAACGCAAACTCACAGTGATTAAAAAAATAAATCAGAAATAGCTACTGCATGAGTGAATTTTCCAATGATGAGTGGAGGATACAATCCTGCCAGGGTCACCTTCTACTGTTCATTTTTGGCAGGGACTATACTGGTGCGGCAGATCCTACAGATTGCAAGATTGAATTCTCTGCTTCCCTGTGCATTCCCTGCAAAGAACACGCCAAGGTAGCAGACCCTTGCAAGCAGCAGAATTGAAACCTCAGCTCACCAGATGCTCTGCCTAGGGGATTCTACTGCTCCATCTGATTGTGTGTTTCAGTCCACTGCTTGGTACAGTCACGTGCTGACAAATCTTCCGACCCAAGACCCTGTCCCCGACATCCTAAGAGCACTCCTGGGGCCAGACTGAATTTGGGACTGTCTCTACCTAACTCATCTCATTCCACCCAAATTGGCCAAATTAAGTTCAGGAATTGGGCTTTGGCTGAATCTGATGCACCATCCTTACAACTCCTCCTTTATTGCTCTCTCTGTGTATTCATGTGTCAGTGATGGATAGATCTGTCAATATTTAGATCTGTGATGGATAGATCTGTCAATATTTAATCCCAGTTTTGTATTTTTAAATCTTATGTTTAATTTTCCACGCAACCACATCAATTAGCTTTTTTTAAAAAGCCTCATGAAAATTCATAAATACAAATCTTATATACTATTTTCCCTTACATGCACATTTTTGCAAAGCAATTTCACTAATACATTGCATTTTAATGTTATTTTTACTAACGTGCATTTTTATGCACAGTTTAGCTTCCTCTATGCATTTTTGACACATTGTTTGACAGGATACATTCTTTGCACAATTCAGGGAAGTGTGAATTTTGGAGAATGGCTGCATTTGATTTCATGTATTGCTTCTGAAAGCGTGAATTCGGTGAAATTCAGGTGTGAATGAGTTTGCATCTTACTTGTGGTATCTTGTAGGTACACAGGATGGGTGCCATATGAAGACAGACATTAGAGTTAGGTCCCCCAATGACTGCTATTGGAGTGCTCTCAGCATCACATTTATAGTTCGGGATGACCTTGGCCCTTCTTGAGAGAAGCTCTATTGAGGCTTCATAGGTCCAGCTTGCACTGAAATGGCTGTTATAAATGTGGAAGCCCAGGGTGACGTTGGGCAAGATCTGGGGATTTTCATTGATCTCCTTTACAGCAAATGCCAAGGCCAGGATGTGCTGGTAGAGGTGAGTCAGCACCCTGTATTGAGAGTTACATGCCACATTACAGTTCATCTGCTTCAGATCATAACATTGACTTCTTTTCAGTGCAGGATCCAATTCAAAAATAGTTTGTAATCTCACATTTCCCAGGTGTGTAAAAGAAGACTAGATTATGAAACAGTATGTGAATCAGTAGTATATGTGGTATAATAATAATAATAATAATAATAATAATAATAATAATAATAATATTTATACCCTGCCCATCTGGCTGGGTTTCCCCAGCCACTCTGGGCTGCTTCCAACAAAACACTGAAATACAATAACCTATTAAACATTAAAAGCTTCCCTAAACAGGGCTGCCTTCAGATGTCTTCTAAAAGTTTGGTAGTTATTTTTCTCTTTGATATGCATGAACACACACACACACACACAAGCAGATGTGCACAGACCTTCTCCCCACATTTCCACTGACTTGATCAGGTTAGTATGTGTGCAAGCAAGAATTCCTATAAGCAGAAAAATGACTCCTCCTCTATTCTTTAAAGGATTACTATACCCAACAGTGAATGTGCTTTTTTATCCACTGCTACAACTACTTAGGCTTTAGTGAAGGGGGAGGGCTAAGAAAATAATAGTTGAACTTGGCTTATGTGTTAGCTGCTCTGTACTAGGAAATACATTAAATTTTTCAAGATGCATTATAACTCCACTTTTTCCTACCAAATTGAGTAGGAAAACTTAATGATCTGTTTAAAAAGGTAAAGGTACCCCTGCCCGTATGGGCCAGTCTTGCCAGACTCTAGGGTTGTGCGCTCATCTCACTCTATAGGCCGGGAGCCAGTGCTGTCCGCAGACACTTCCGGGTCACGTGGCCAGCGTGACATCGCTGCTCTGGCAGGCCAGCGCAGCACACAGAACACCGTTTACCTTCCCGCTAGTAAGCGGTCCCTATTTATCTACTTGCACCCGAAGGTGCTTTCGAACTGCTAGGTTGGCAGGCGCTGGGACTGAACGACAGGAGCGCACCCCGCCGCAGGGATTCGAACCGCCGACCTTTTGATCGGCAAGTCCTAGGTGCTGAGGCTTTAACCCACAGCGCCACCTGCGTCCCAATGATCTGTTTACAATACCCCAATTTAAATCAGTTCCAGGAGTTCTGTCAAATCTCCCAAAGTGAAATGGAGAGAGAACACAAATATTATCTTGCCTAATACACTGTTTATTGCCATATTGAGTTTACATAACTTCCAGAGGATGGGTTTAGATATCAGATTCCTGCTTGTATAAATGTGAGATCAAATGTGGTGGATGTAAGGAAATGAGGGTCAAATTATAATTATTTGTCAGACCACTAGAGCTAAATCCAAGTGAAGTCCAACAGGCAGCCTGGGTATGTTATAAATTTCTTTTGGGTATAATATATTTGTTTGTTTTCAAAATTCAGCTACTTACATATGGTCATCTGAAAATTCCCGAGATGGGTGTTTTTCAAAGGATAGGGTATCTGAAAATATGTAGATCTGAGAAATAATGCCAGCAATGATGAGATCTCCTGACTGATAATATTTGTGAAGAATAGGGACAGGTTCTCTGATGGAGCATTGAGAAATATGCAGAAACGTGCACATCCCCTGCACCAACAGTAAGAGCACCAGCAACTGAAACACTACCATCTTGAAAGGGATTATTCATTTAGGCACAAGTTCACCTCATCTGTTACTGCCATTCCAGTGATCCTGAGCAGCAAAGCCGAACTTGTATGGTCACTCACTCAGCTGATTCAAAGCCAGACTGATGAGTCTCTGTATGTCTGTAGACTGAACTCTGTATATTTCAAAGTTATTCATTAGACACTCTAGTCTCATTTTTATCATTCTGCATGTGGACAAAGGAGGTCCCTAGGGAAGAGAAGAAGATGTAATTTTGAATAATTTGGTAATTACAGACGTAATCACTTGCTCTGAGTTACAGATTCTCTGTAATAATATATCAAAAACATGTTCATCACATCTCAGCCAAAGTCTTTTCTTAAATGGGAGAGATAGGTGCTAGGTCCCTTCTTTTATTTAAACACACTGGCTGGGATGGCTGTAAATTTATTTACAGAATACTACTATTCCCCTCCCGGGGGGGGGATTACCTACTTACATATGGTCATCTGAAAATTCCTGAGATGAGTGTTTTTCAAAGATTAGGGTATCTGAAAATATATAGACCTGTGAAATAATGCCAGCAATGATGAGATCTCCTGACTGATAATATTTGTGAAGAATAGGGACAGGTTCTCTGATGGAACACTGAGGAAGAGAAAGAAATGTGCACATCCCCTGCAGTGGCAGTAAGAGCACCAGCAACCTAAACACTACCATCTTGCAAGGGATTATTCATGTAGGCACAAGTTCACCTCTTCTGTTACTATCATTCAAGTGACTGTGAGTTGTAGAGACTAACTTGAATGGTCACTCACACAGCTGATTCAAAGCCAGACTCATTATTCTCTGTATATCTATAGACACAACCATGTATAGTTCATAGTCATATTAATAAGACCCTCCATTCTTAGTTTCATCATTTGCATGTGGGCACAGAAAAGGGAAGGGGAGAAGATGTAATTCTGAATAATTCCAGGAGAGGTAATCACTTGCTTTGAATTACAGTTTCTGTGTAATATTTTAAAGAAAACATATTTATCCTATCTCAGCCAAAGCCAATCAAGCACAGTAATCCCATGGGCATTGAATCAACACCAGCTGATGGCATGGCTCCCCAAATCTCTTTTCTGATGAGAGCAGATTTTGCATCTCATTTGGAAAGCCAAGACCCAGGGTCTAGAGGAAGAATGGGGAGGCACACAATGCCAAATGCTTGAAGTCCAGTGTGAAGTTTGCACAGTCTGTGTTGATTTGAGGAGCCATGTCATCAGCTGGTGTTGGTCCACTGTGCTTCATTAAGTCCAGGGTCAACACAGCCATCTACCAGGAGATTTTGGAGCACTTCATGCTTTCTTCCACAGACAAGCTTTATGGGGATGCTGACTTCATTTTCCAGCAGGACTTTGGCACCTGCCCACACTGCCAAAAGTACCAAAGAAAGGAGAGGATGAGAGAGGACAGGAGAACATAGGTGAGGTTCCAATTATTAGCTTTTACTATGGGAGTGTCGTGGTGCTTGATGAACATTCCAAGAACCAAAGTTATGATTAAAGAAAATAAAACGGCAGATGTGTTCAAAATGATCCCCAGGGGTTTGCTGTAAGTCAGGAAGGTTATGTATTTTGGGAGGCATCCATCCTGGCCAATGTTTGGATAATGATCTTCTGAACACTGAAAACAATCATCCATGTCTGAAATCAAATATGAAAAATAGATATAAAATGGTATTTAAGAATGGCATTCTGTTCCTGAATGAGGGTAGTGAACTTGAAATATCAAAAGTTAATTTTGCAGTAAGAATAATAGGAAATTCTACATATTGAGCATAATCTGAGCTCAATGGCATCAAGGACCTTCTTTCTCATGGGTTCCAAGCAAATCCAGAAATATAAACAAATCAAAAACAATCCTACTAGCAGCTGAAGGTTTCCGAGGCCTCTGTGTCTATTGATTTGTGTCTTTGGGGGTGGAGCTTGCAGAGTCTTTTTTTTAAACTGATCCAACCCACTGGTATTCTTATCCTCTTTGGATTCATCTGATATTCTGTTCAGCCACCCACATTACCTCATGTGAAGTATGTGGAAGAGAGCCCTGGATCATTTGACCATTTTATTTGATCTCTTTTGCCTCCTATAAAAACTGCACAAGACACTCTCTGATTAAAGTTTAAAGAACAAGTAACTTTGACTTAGTAAACTTGCAGTTGCAAAATATTATGTTCAATGCAGGTAGGTGGTAGTTAAATTGCTAATACGTTTTACAAAGATTAAACTGTTACAGACTGACTAACTCTCAGGCAGACAGCAGCACAACAGAACAAAGCGGCTGCTCTAACTGTTAAGACTGTTGAACTAACTGCCACAACTGCCACAGAGTGGATGACATCCCAGAGTTCTACTGTTCTTTCCATTAACCCTTTACACATGTGAATGTTAGAGCAATTAGTTTAAGCATTTAAAACGCTGATGGGAGCCAGGTAGATTGTAGTCAATCTATTTATAAAATAGAATACACCCATTTGTTAAATAGGTGGCAACTGTCAAATAGAACACATCTGCATATGACATTCCTTACCTTTTTCGGTTTGAAACTTTTACTTCTGGACCTGGAAAGCAATCATAGCAGCAAAATGCCTTCCCTTCTTTTTTAGCTCTTCTATAACCTGAACTGCATCTATCATTACATATGGAAATGGGATATATCTGTTAGTAAGTGATAAAGTAGTTTTTATACAATCCAAACATAAGTGGTGGAGCCTTTATTTCATAATTATTTCTCTGCAGTGAAGGAATCGATTGATACTGGCATATGGAAATAATATGAATTCTTGAGTGTACATCGTATTTATGTGGTGAACTTCCCTATAACTGGAATCCTTCACCCACATTAAGAATGGAAGAGACAAAATAGACATTATCACAGTGTCCCTTGAATTCTGTACATTTGTCTTCAGCATTCTAACATCCACTTCAAAATCAGGAGACAATGTGACTTTTTGAACATTGAGGAATTATTCAATATATCCCAAAATGAGGCAGGATGATGGTTCTTCTACTCATAAGTCCCTTAACTTTGTCAGGATTCCTGGTTCCCCAACAGAGAAAATGGCTTTTTCAGAGCGCCAGGGGTAGTTCCCCTGTTTACTCTTTTTTCCAGAGTGAATTCAATAGTCAATATCTATGATTGCCTAACATCAATCACCACAAGGAACATCAAGGAAAAAATCTAGGAAAAACATCTAGAAAAAAATCTAGAAAAAATTATGTAAGGCAGCTGTTGAACACGTGTTTGCAAATATTCAACTGCACACAAAGAAGAAAGCACAAGATACAGCAAAGTACAGGTTATTATTTCTTTACTTTCTCTTCCTTATTAGCTGTTCCCTATTGTTGAGCTCAGGCCTAAGAAGGATTATGTAACATTTGGGGGAAAAGATGCAGCCCAGCAACCCAACACCGGAGGCTAAGATGGAGAAGATCTCCACAGCTACCATATATTTTCCCTTGGTGCTCAGATAGGAGGGAATAAAGGACAGCCAAACACTGCAGAAGACCAACATGCTGAAAGTGATAAACTTGGCTTCGTTGAAACTGTCTGGTAACTTCCTAGCGAGGAAAGCCACAGCAAAACTTACAATTGCCAGGCAGCTCATGTAGATGAGGACACAGTAAAACATTGTCACACTCCCCTCATTACATTCTAGTATAATTTCTTCCATCACAGAATGCATGTCCACATCTGGGTATGGAGGAGAGATTGCCAGCCACACAGTGCATATCCCTGCTTGAACAATGGAGCAGGAAAGGAGAATGGAGTGGCCTAGTCCTTTCCCCACCCATTTCCTCATCCTGGATTCTGGTTTTGTAGCCATGAAGGCCAAAACCACCATGAAGGTTTTTGCCAGGACAGAAGAAACAGCGGTTGAGAAGATGATGCCAAAAGCTGTTTGTCGGAGGAGGCACGTCACCTTCTCAGGTCGGCCAATGAAGAGCAATGCACAAAGGAAGCAGAGCAGGAGAGAGATGAGGAGAGCGTAGGTGAGGTTTCGGTTGTTTGCAATGACAATGGGTGTGTCATGGTGTTTTATAAATGTACCTAGTACCAGAGCTGTGATCAAGGAAAGGGAAAGAGAGAAACAGGCTAAACCTAAGCCCAAAGGTTCTTCATAAGACAAGAAGCTGATATCCTTGGGTAGACATGCATCCCGGTTCTTGCTTGGATATTCTTTGTCTGGGCATTTATTACAGTCATTCATATCTGGAAGGGAGGAAAGGAAATGACGTTTAGTTCATATCATGTCAGCTTCCTGAAATGTTGACTATCTGTCTGAGAAGAAAAGAGCTCTGTTCACATTAAAACACATATTTAATACTGTCTGATGCTCTGTAACGTGGTATTGTTGCATTTAATCGGTTCAGAGATATTGGTCTGTAAATTGCAGAGCCAGGGCCATTCCTCCTCATGATTTTAGAATGTATCTTTACACTAGCCTGGGTAAGTCAAAAGGAATGGAAAACCCCTTCTAGATTTGATTTGAAACACATACCATCCGACTACTCTCAATGCATAGTCATTCTCATTAGAGTAACATATCTAGGCTATCTGAAGGGCAATGATCACAAAGAAGCAGGATCTCACACACAGTAGATCATCTCCTGTTTTGAAAATTAAGTCAGCCGTCCTTACAGCAGCTTTCAATGCTAAGTACTGAGTCTGGATCTATTTAACTATTTATTTCTCTTACCATCCTGGTTTGCAATCTTCCCCTCAGCACATGGGATGCAATCGTAGCAGCAAGGGGGCTGTCCCTCCTTCACTTTCTTGCTGGATCCTGGAAGACATCTCTCAGTACAGACAGAAAGAGGCTGAATCTAATCCATAAATGAAAGAACAAAAGGATAAGCAAGAGAACAATGAGTTTGGAATCCTTTATGTTCTTGGTCCTTTCTCTGTGTTATTAAGCTGACACAGCATTCCAGTAATATGTAATGGCTATACAAAGAGCCATTTCTTCTTTTCTT